CATCCGACCTCTTGATTCTCTACTTCTCAGCCTCTACGATTCTCGCTCTCCCGCGTCTTCGGACGCTCTGGCTCATACCCTCGGCGAGCACGGCAAAGGCACTATGGACGGCCATCTTCATTCTCACAGCGCTCGTGGTACCTCTGGAGTCAATTGGCAAGAAGAAGTTCCTGCAGCCGACGTACCAATCGCTCACCAAGGAGGAAGAGACCGGATTCTGGGGGCGCAGCTTCTTCACCTGGCTCCTGCCATTTTTCCGTCTAGGTTACTCTCGAGTGATCCATATCCATGACATGCCCGAAGTCGACGTAGATCTCACGGGTGAGACGACAGGTAGGGCTTTGGAGCGGTCTTGGGCGGCTCGCAAAGGCCAGAAGCACCACGCCTTGCTCCGCGCGAGTTGCCGTGCTTACCGCGGGACCATCTTCCTCGGAGTCGTCACTCGACTATTCCTCACGGCCTTTACCTTCTGTCAGCCCTTCCTAATCACAGCTACAGTGACTTTCATGCAGACCCCCAAAACCCCACAGTCCGAAAAGTACGGCCAAGCGCTCGTCGGCGCGCATGTGCTCACCTACGTCGAGCTTGCAGTATCGCGTGCAGCATATTCCCGGCAGCAGTACCGTTTCACAACGATGATCCGCGCAGGCTTGATCGACATGGTCTTCCGTAAGACTGTGTCGCTGAAAGCAGACGACTTGAAGGACAGCGCCGCGGTCACACTAATGGGCACCGACGTTGAGCGGATTGTAACTACTTTTGCCATGTTTCACGAAATCTGGGCCTCGGTTGTTGAGGTCGGGATAGCGGTTTTCTTGCTGCAACAACAGATCCAGATTGCTTCCATCGTGCCAGTTGTCATCTCAATAGGTAAGGGCTGTTGTGGAGAGGATTTCGCGCGCTCTTGTAGGCTAATACCTCTTTCCACCAGTCTGCGTTGTGGGAGTGATCCCTATTTCGAAAACTATCGGAAGAGCCCAGACCGTCTGGATTGAGCGATTGCAGAAGCGAGTTGCCGTTACCGCCACAATGCTCGGCGACATGAAGGCCATCAAGATGCTTGGTCTGCCCGAAGTTTTGTCCGGCGTCATTCTCCAGTTACGACGCATCGAGCTCAGCGGGTCCGAGAAGTTTCGAAAACTTCTGCTGTGGCAAGTCCTTGTTTGTAAGACACCTACCATCCCGAGACGTTGGATCACCTGCTGACTCCCACTCGAAGCAAACCTTCCCAACGAATTCGCACCATTCGCTACGTTCGTCATATACAGCATCATCGCCTTGATCACCAAAGACCAGACTCTAACTTCCACCAATGCTTTTACCGCACTGTCTCTCATCAACCTCCTGACCGACCCGTTGCTGAGATTTTGTCAGTATGTTCCCAACATCGTGCAGGGGATCGCTTGCTTCACGAGAATCGAGGCCTTCTGTCTCAAAGCCTCCTGGGCGCCGGAAAAGGGGTCATCTGGCTCCGAAGTTGCTGTGCCTCGTGCCAGCGACGTTGAACTAACCACGCAGACTACTGCCCAAGCCCCACAGGACATCATCACCTCTTTCCAGGATGCAACTATCTCATGGTCCTCTGAGGCCGACGTCGTTTTGAGTCATCTTAGCTTGCGTATCAAAAGAGGCATCACCATGGTTGTTGGGCCGGTAGGCTGCGGAAAATCTTGCCTCCTTGAAAGTATCCTGGGCGAGACAACTCTTCATAGCGGCTCCCGTACCGCTACGGCACTGAGCATTGCGTACTGCTCACAGAACCCGTGGATATTGAATAATACAATCAGGCACAACATCACTGGCGGGTTGGAATTTGACGCTAAATGGTTTCAGCGTGTGCTGTGGCTGTGCTCTCTCACGGACGATGTTAGGAATATGCCAGAGGAAGAAGCATACAATATCGGAAGTAATGGCGTTGGGTTGAGCGGAGGGCAAAAGCAGCGAGTGGTAGGTTTTACGTTTCTCATTTGAGAGAATCTCGCTAATCCTCATGGCAGGCCTTGGCTAGGGCTGTCTACTCTAGGCATCGAGTGGTCATTTTAGACGACACGTTCAGCGGTCTCGACTCTAGAACTGTTGATCGGATATCGACTCATCTATTTGGTCTGAATGGGCACTTCCGTCAGAACGGTATATCTGTCATTCTCGCAACTCACACACGTAAGCCGCCGTAGCTCACCCGCAATACCTTATATTGAGCACTCACTGAATCTTAACCACCAGGTCACCTTCTACGATTTGCTGATGAAGTCGTTGTCATTGAGGATGGCAGAATACTCAGTCAAGGCCCATATGAAAAGGTTCTCGCCACATCAGCAGACGTAGTCACGACCTCAGCGTCAGCAGATGACTCGGCAGACTCCATTTCCGAACAAGACACCGTGCCATCTCCAGGCGTGGAAAAGGAAGGCAAGGTCGTTGTTTCTGCCAGCGACGAAGCCGACCGGCTGCGGCAAAATGGGTCTTGGTTAGTCTACAAGTACTACTTTGAGCAAGGAGGATGGGTCGCTTTCGGCCTTTTTGTGGCTTCTACAATCACCGAGTCTTTTTGCGCCGGATTCACAAGTAGGTCCGCCCCAACGCGGTTTGAAAGTCTAACAGACTTGCTCACTGACTTCGGCTTCCAGCAATCTGGTTTCAATGGTGGGTTGAAGCCAACGGAGAAGAGCCGAACCAAGACCTTGGCATGTACCTAGGGGTCTATGCTTTGTTGTTTCTGACCAATATGTTTGCGCTCATTTTGGAATGCTGGTAAGCCATTTGATCAGGAATCATCCCAATCATAGAATCGCAGCTAAGCTTGATAGGGTGATGTTTATCCGCATCATCAACAATACTGCCACAGGTCTGCATGCAGATCTCCTTCGGACAAGTCTAAAGTATGCATAATAGGGGAGCTCGCATGCAATCTCATACTGACAAATCTGCAGGGCACCACTCAGCTTTTTCCAGTCAACAGATACTGGATCCATCACCAACAGGTATGTTTAAAAGACACCATTTCCGCAGTCTATCTTTCTTACAACCAGAATAGATTCAGCCAGGACTTGAACTTGGTTGACATGACTCTGCCGTCAAATGCCATCAACTTCTTCACCAGTAAAGCAACTTTGAAACCAGGGCGAGCTCAAATCTTATACTGATATTTGCTAGACTCTTGCGCATGCATCATAAAACTCATAATTCTATGCGTCCTCGGGAAATATCTCGCATCTTCCATCCCCCTTCTCGTGGCAGTCCTATTTTTCGTCCAGCGCTACTATCTCCGCACCTCGCGCCAAGTCCGACTTCTCGACATTGAAGCCAAGGCACCCATGTACACACACTTCCTCGAGACTCTTAAAGGTGTAGCGACCATACGCGCATATGGATGGGAGAACAACTTCGAGGCTCAGGCCTCGTCTCTTTTAAACCGCTCACAGAAGCCGCACTACATGCTTGCTTGTATCCAACAGTGGCTGGCATTGGTTCTGGACTTGGTTGTCGGCGCTCTGGCGCTCATTGTTGTTGCGATGGCCACTTCGCTAACGGACAAGTTCACCCCTGGAGCCGTCGGTGTGGCAATGGTTTTAGTGCTGGGTTTCAACTCCGATCTTGCAGTGACCATCAAGAACTGGACAGCATTGGAAACTTCTATCGGGGCGGTGTCGAGAATCAGAGAATTCGCAAACGAGACACCATCTGAAGAACGAGAGCTTGTCGGCAATGGTGCACCTCCAGCGGGATGGCCACTGAAGGGTGCTATCAAGTTCGAGAGTGTCACTGCTGGATACACGTGAGTCGGCGTCCTTCGATCGGAAACATCATGCAGCTGATGACTGACACACCTTGCAGTGCAGATGCCGCAGCAACATTGAAAAGCGTATCCCTTAATATTTCCCCTGGTCAGCGGATTGCCGTGTGCGGTCCATCGGGCAGCGGGAAAACGTCACTTGTGCTCTCGCTGCTCCAAATGATAGAGGTCACAGATGGTAGGATCTTTGTAGACGGCATCGACCTTTCCACTTTGGAGAGGTCTGAAGTTCGTTCGCAGATCAATGTTATCCCACAAGAGCCATTCTTCATGCCTGGAACTGTACGTTTCAACCTCGATCCTCACTCACGAGCAAGCAGCGAGGGGATCAAGAATGCTCTCGAAAAGGTCGGGCTTTTAAGTAGAATCGACATGGTAGGCGGCCTTGACGATGAATTAGAGGCGGATGGCTTCTCGGTGGGCGAGAGGCAGCTTCTTGCGCTTGCTAGGGCTATCATTTCCAAGAGCCAGATACTGATTCTCGACGAAGCCACAAGCAGGTAGGTTGTTACAGTTCTCATCTCACTTGCATGAAAGGAACTAACATAAAGCTTTTCAGTGTCGACCAGGAAACCGAATCCATGGTGCAAAGTATCATTGACCAAGAGTTCTCTGAGCAAACAGTCATCTCTGTCATTCATCGCTTGCGATTTGTTGAGAGCTATGACAGAGTCTTACTTCTGAATAGGGGAGAAGTTTTGGAATGGGATACCCCAAGAAGCCTATTGATGAGGGATTCTGAGTTCCAGAAGTTCTTCACATCGACGCAGACCTCTCATTGAAAAGATGTTGATCAAGAAACCACATGATGATAGAGAAATAATTGACGGATCCAATACCCTACAGCTCAACGTCAAAATGTGCGCATCAAGTCATTACGAGGCTTCCATATTTTATGACTATACTAATACCTTCAGTTGGCGCGCCAAGGTTGTGGCTTATCTCGTGGCTTGCTAGAAAGATAGATGCAAAGTCAGTCAAGGCAGATCATCTAGTATGGACAACATATTGTACTATGAAATATGAAATCTCTAATTGTCGAACGGCAAGACAGATGTCCCCAATTACTGCTACTTTATGTACAATAGTATCAATCAGCCGCATCATAATTAATCATCTCCATGTCATCAGACTTGCCTAGCAGCTCCGAGACGGTTCAAAGCTTGAGCAAAAAGCAAGGAACCGAATTCATGTTCTTGAGGTCAAATTAACTGAGGACTTTGCCAGTCAGAATCTCATATCCCGTCATGCTAGACGCATCAGGCAATGACCTCTCACGATAACGGTAATACCACGCCAACAACTCTGGAATGGTATTGAAAACTTCTTGGCCGTAGATGTCATTCAGCATGTACCTCCAGGCCCATGGCTCGGCGCAAGCGCTGGCTTCGTCATTCTCGGCAGCCCTCCGACAGTAGACAACGTAGGACCAACAGTCATAGCCAACGCCCGATTCCCATCCCGCGGCAACGTCCCAACAAAAGCTAACCACATTCTCCTCCAGCCACTCGGGACTCTTGATTATGTTGGGAAGATGATTTTCGGTCTCAGCAGTCGGAATCCACGGCCCGGTCCAAAAGGATGCTTGGTACTTCGACTTATACTCCGTCATGCCGGGCCCGGTAAGCGCTTGAACTTGTTTCGCCAGCAGGCGGAACTCTTCAGGAAATTTAATTGTCTGTCGTACCTCCTCCCGACATGACCTCTTCAAGTCTTGTTCCATTGCCAAGAAGTAGTCCTCGAGAAGAGCTTTCTCCTCTTCGGAAGGCACGCGTCCGCCTGTACCGTCCATATCGTAGATGGAGCATAGTTCGTCCCAGCGGGTGAGGATTTGAGATGGTGTGGAGACGAAAGTCCCGAGCCGGTTGTCAAATATGGGCCATAAGCTCTGTATGCGCACGTCGTTGATGTCTTCATCCCCCTCGTCATCCCCTTCTTCGAAATCTGCGTCGGAGACCAGCGATACTAGTAGCACTAGTTAGAAAGGGCTTGTTGCGGGGCATGTTTCGCGAACAAACACACCGTAAACTTGGACAGCACGACGATTGCGGTTCGAGATGTGGGATCTATAGGCTGCGACGGCGGCATCAATCTCCTCGGGAGTCGAATACATGGTGACAGGTTGAAGTGAGTTCTAAGGGCCTCTGCTGCTGAAGCAGAAATGTGAACATGCCTGACGGAACAAGGCGGGTGGGTTTGGGTGGGCTTTTCAAATTGTGCTGCTCTGGGTGCTGGTAATTTGTATAGCTGGTGCCTGGCTCCGTGCCGCAGCGGGGTCCAGCACCTGACTAGATCGTCCCATGTAGGTGGGTTACAAGGTACAGTGACAGGTGAAGAAACAGACATAAACATTGTCACGGCGTGAAGCTTTGTATTGTCAAGACATATCCGCGTGGGACATCGTGTGATCGGTGACGTTTCGGCGCGGATATTGTGGCAAGACTGATTCGTCATTATTTGAGATGTATCTTAGTTACTCTCTTGTCTTGATTCATGCCAGTTTCTACTGTTCTACATGAAGGAGTACCAGTCACCCTCATCATCATCAATTGACTCTCCTTTGTCAGCCTTTTCCAGCAGCTCCTGAACTGTCCAAAGCTTGAACGGAAAGCCGGGAACCGTGTTCGAGTTCTTGAATTCTTTTCCGTGAAGCACATGGGCTGCGCAAGCCTCATAGTTTTCGTAAGCATAGACCTCGGGGTCATGCTTCAGCAACCATGTCCCCGTGAATTTGGCAATGCTTCGGGGGTTCTTGGCTGCCTCATTCCAGTCGGTGCGATGGAAAGCCTCCCTCGATTTGAAGCCTATCTTTTGAGCACAGGCTGTTCTTTCAAAGCTAGGCTCACCGTCAGCAATACTAGCTCAGATGAAGAGACTGTCAATAGGATGATGCTTGAAGCATTCACTCACCGGAGATGGTTGTGAACCTTGGTGGCGATGGTAGCTGAGTCCTTGCCGCCCATCTTTAGGCAGGCTGCAAGAGAGAAGGCATCCTCAAGGGCGGTTGTGGCACCAATGCCGGATGAGGGCAGGAACCAGTGTGCGGAATCACCGCACTGCACCACATGGCCTCCGTCAGACACCCACTTTGGCTGAGGGTCACGAAAGCGCAACTTCCAGTCTGTGGCTTCATTGTTGGGAGTGGATTTGATGACTTCGTGGACGATAGGTGCCCAATCCTGGACATATCGAAGCGCTCCTCTGGAATCCACAACACGATTCCAATCCTCGACAGCAGAATCCTCGTCCTGATGCGTCAAGCCCCAACTGAATTCTGTGGGCGATAGGCCGATGAAAAAATGCGCCCCGGGACCGATATGCAGAGAGGTCCACTCTCTCTTGTCTTTGAAGAATTCTGCAAGGGCAGGGCTTTCCAGTGCCTTCTCAGCTGGGTAACTGGTTCTGTACAGAGCATAGCCAGAACTGATTGGCTTCTCCTTGGTGCCAGTCACAAGACTCCATGAGTTAGAGCCTACCCCATCTGCTGCTACGACAATGTCTGCGGTGAGCTTGTGTCCGTCAGAGAGGATGACGCCACCCAGGTCCTCTGTTTCAAGGAACTCCTCAACCTCTTGACCCCTATCAATTCGGATGCCAATTTCGGTTGCATAGTTGAGGAGTAGCTCGTAAAACTCCCTGCGGCTGACCGATACCGTGGGCACGTCCCGGGAGCCAAGCTGGGTTCCGAATAGCTTCTGGCCACTAAACTTGAAGAACTGAAACTCGGCCGAGATGGCAACCTTATGCAGTCTGGCCATGAACCCAGGCCATCTAGACGGGGTGTGCAGTCCGGGCGACTGAATGAAGAAGATTTCGCCTGACGACGAAGAAGTTAACCAACTAAACCAAGCCACGTTGCTTTTGTCGCCAAGCACCCTTCACTAACCGTAATCTCCCGGATCGGCACGTTTCTCTAAGACCTTGACAGCATGGCCCTGACGGTGAGCTTCAATGGAAAAGGCCAAACCGGTGATTCCAGCGCCAACAACCAAAACCGAAAGACCAGAGTCAGGAAGGCGTTCCATAGCGTTGGACTTCAGCTCGCTTAAACAAACTCTGGAAAATGAAGAATGATCGATGAAGATTTGGGCTGAAAATGGTCTGCGATGAGCACTCTCTAAAGATGGAAGATAGCGAGATGATGTGGTGATTTTGAAAGAGAGCAGCAGTTCCTCTCCGTGCTTCGAAGGTCATCTTTAAGAGCGCACCGACTTCATGCCTCTATAGCTATCCTCCGTCCGGACTTTCGGACATTCATGAATTCTGTATTGGGCCGAACAACGAGGCAAGAAGGGGTGAACTTGCTCCCGGTCTCTCGCGATATCTCGCGAGAACGAGATAGACTCTACAACTCCTGACTCGGATGATCTGCTGGTTCCCGTCTTTTCGGAGTGGGTAGATAGCGTAAAGATCTGTAATGACCCAATCAGGTTTGCAGCATGATCAGTGAACCTAGAGGATGAACCAGTGTTCGGCCTAGTAGCGATCCCGTAACCCCTGGTAATTTTCTCAAACCCTTGGTACGTGGTCTGGCTTTACGCTTAGTACGAAGACGGTGTCTCTCGCGTTTTGTCGTGAAAGGCGTGCCGCTGAGTAAGCTCGCGCGTCTATAAACGCGAGCTCGTACAAGCCGTACGCAAGTTCAACCCTTGCATGAAATGATGCATGGGTTCTAGAGTAGAGTCTTATCATATACCCAATCAAGTGACGGGAAACACATAGGCCTCACTGCCAATACCTTATTAGACAATAGCCTGACTTGAACGAACGTTGACAGGTGAGGACGGTCTTCTACCAGTTCGAGGTTGTGGAGGCAAGAGAAAAGCTCGATGCGTTCCGATCAAGAAATTTGCCCGATTAACCCTTAATCCTCTGCTTTACCGACAATACACCGTTGAAAGACGCATTGGGGGCATTTGCTATTACGAAACTCATGATTTGGGGCGAATTGATAGCATAGAACTTCAACTGAGTAAACTCGGTATCTAATTGCCTATTTGGGCTATCGTCGAAACAAGCGCGCGGGTCGATGCGATGGCGGCGTCGGACGGAGCAAGTTGTACGCCGAGTTCCGTGAGTGCATTCTCAGTAGCCTATGTGCCTCCCTATTCGCAGGAATCGTAAGCGAGGATTGCATTTTTGAGATGTTTGGAATCATTCAGGTTAGTTGTTCCCACCACAAAGGAGTGCGTGACGTTGAGCCGATCTCTTGGCATGCAATATCACAGGATGAACACATCCGTCAATTATTTCACGGTAGTCGTTGGACGGACTCACAACGCCAAATTGTATAGTTGACCTTTCAAACCTGTGGTTTCATCCATCGCAGGTAGCGTGATAGCAGTCAGTGTAAGCATAAGATGGCAAGGTGTCATGGACCGTGGTGGGCTCCTCTGACGACTGTCAGCGTCAAGATGCCTCGAGTGCATGGGAGAGTGACAAGCATGTGGATGATCCGCAATGACAAAAATTGCCTCAATGAATGCTCACAAGATCCATCAAGCGGTACAGACTTCACCCCTGACTACAACAGTAACCTCCCACGCAGGCTACTTACGAGATTTAACGACAGCCACTACGTCCTAATCAACCTCATGAGTTATGCAGGTTGGCTCTAGAGAGATGACGAAGTGAAAAGGGTCTTCTAAGCGTCTTCCCCGAACTAGGCCGCGGCCCGAGACCCGCTAGCCACTCTATTGTCTCATGGCCATCTCTCATGGTCATCGCGGGCAGTCATAAGCCTTGCGCGTGAAGCTACCCCACAGTTCGCACAGCTTTTGACAATAAGCACTTACAGCACAATGGAGCTCTGTTCAAGCGATTACTACAGATGTATGAGACTCTGAAGCTAGACTCATACAGTACCTGCAAAGAAGAACTGGATTAGCCCTGGCCTCGAAGGATTGCGTTCACATCGGAACTGTTAAAGATCAGAAAGTTGTTAACAAAGGTGCGAATAACGCGCCGATATAACTGAATGAAGGTTTAGGGTAGGTGGCTCGGCAAATGTCCGGTACTTAACGTCAATGCGCCTCGCTGCTTGTTCAAGGAATCAAGTTCTAGAGGAAACGATAGCTTGCTATTTTTCTTAACTTAGCGTAACTGATTAAGATTGTGTATCGTCATAGACTTTTTCTCAATTTCAATGCTGTTGAGATGATACAATACGAAGAAGTAGGATTCTTAGTAGCCAGACTGTCAATCACAATACGTGCCCAGTAATTTGGATCGTCATCAGGATGCGGCCGCACGAGAATCTCTCGCGCGCACGGTCCCTCAAGATAGATCATACAGTAAGGTCCCTTGAGGACAGACACCTGGGCAATCTACCTTGAATAGTAATAATATACATTCATGAAAGAAAACAGAAACATGTTCTCATGATGAAAACTTGGTTCAGTAACAAGCTTTCCCCCGCGTCATCAAGGGTAAAAATCGGAAGTGCTTTAGCCCCTTCAAACACCCTCTTCTTCATCCATCTCCCCTTTTTTAGTTTTCTCCAGGCCAACCAACTGCTGCCTTACACACGTTTCACAGCCCACAAAACGTATTCGATCCCAACGAGCAGACCTCATTTTGCCATGGAATTTCTCTCAATGTCCCGACAGGAGGTTCGACTTCGCATTGCCGAGGTTGACAAAGTGACAGTTGGCGCTGCTATTCTCCAGCAGGGAGAGTCTGGGCCTACTGTACTTCTTCTCAAGCGAAATCCAACTCAGAAGTACTACCCGGATGTCTTCGAACTCCCAGGAGGCAATATTGATACCGCAGATGGCTCTGTCCACGATGCTCATCCGCGAAGTCTTTGAAGAGACACAATTGGCCGTGGTAGAGGTCGTATTACCGCTGTCTCGCATAACTTACACCACGGAGAAGCTGGGAAAAGGTTCGATGGGTCAAGGGACAATTGTCAGACGCCGTGCCGTGCAATTGAGCTATGTCGTCAAAGTTGAAGGGAAAGATTTTCAAGTCAACAACGAGGAGCATTCATGCGGGATCTGGGCCGGCCGCGATCATCTTGATGAGATTCTAATCACCTCAGATATGAAGGCGTTGGCATTGGAGGCCCTGGAGATGGCACGCGCACACACCGCATCAAATAAGTGAGACACTACGACTTTGAGCCGGTCCCAAGTAGCATCTGGGAGATATATTCAGGCACAACCTTAACACTTTGGTGAAAAGGCAGAACGCATGCGATTCGTAAAGTTTCACGTGCTTCAGATGTAATGAGTGGGGTGCATCGACACCGAATCGAGACATAAGGATGTGTATAGAAACATCATCATTTAAGCAAGTTGAAATACCCAAGACGCATTGGCCGTTGATCGTCAGTTGATCTCATAACTTTGTGAACAACATGCCCCAGCCCTGCAGAGGGGACATGTCAACCTCACACATCCTCAACATCTCCCAAATGACGGTCGCCACAGTATCAAATACAGGGATATTGTACTCTTTCTCCCAGTACGCGACGCGTTGCGCTGCCCTTAGATTCGTGCAGAAGGTCGTAATCCCCTGCACACCCTTTCCCGCAACTTCGCCAACCATGCCGTCCAGTGTGGATTCGTCCACCGCCGCAAAAGTAGAATTCTTGAAGATTCGCAAATGACTTTCTTTAGCGCAATCGATACCAATGGTGGAGTATGTTCGAATGATGGCTTCTTGCACATCATCCGTGTAAGGAGTAACGAGGCCGAGTTCCTCGACGCCAAACTCCTGGACCGCCTTATTCAATGCTAGCACAGACGTGGTGGCTGGGATTCCTGTGGCTGCTGTAATTTCGGCGCACAACTTCTCGTCCGCCTCAAACCCTAGCCAGCCGGACGATGTTCCGCTCCAGCCGATGACGTCGACTTCGGCATCCTCGAGAAGCTGTGCAGCTGCAACAATGTTCTCGTTCTCAAATTGGTTCAATCCATCTTTGTCAAGGCTTATCTTGAGAACTCGGAATCGAGAGAAATGAACCGACACATTTGGCAGAGACGAGATGATGGCCTGCGAGAGTGGTTCGAGACTCGTGTTGGATGAGGGAGTCAGAATCCCAAGGCGGACCTTTCGAGGCATGGTGGTAGATGATGACGGTTGAAACGTTTTTACTGCTGGGAGGAAACAAATAATAATTTGGTCTTGAGTGACTCGGTTCGAATTGAGTGTAGCCCCCCAGGCTCAAGAGATAAAGAACATGGCCTAGTTGCAAAGATCAACAGTGGTTCGGATGAAGTCTCGCCGTCACCCACCCAAGACATCGGCTAAGTTGGCCGATCCTCCCCGCATCAAGACCGAGTCGGCCCCATCCTATCCGTTGATACGACGTCCGATTTGACTCCGATGAAGAAGGCCTATCGCCCGCGCTGGACTACTCTTATCAGCCGAACCCAGCCTACCTTATCTCCAGGAGGGATGATGAGTGGATCTTGATTTCATCCCCGCCGCACATTAGTCCGTGGCATGAAGAGCCGCTGATGAAAACCACACAAGCTGTATCTTGAACTGAAAGTAGACGGTTCCGCTTATCTTGATAAAATGTTGGATTGACACCTTCACAATGAGCTTTGCTATCCGGGCGGATACTTTCAATTTACTGGGCGGACCACTACCTACCTATAAGCTACATTAAAAGACGATCCCCTTTGTAATTATCCCTATTATCAATGTTGTCATTATTATCGTCGTTGCCGTCGTTATCGTTATCATCGGCATCATCCGCGTCGTCGTCTTCGTGCTTACTGCTACTGCCCTGTCATCACTACCCGCCCAATTAGCAAAAGTATTGACAATCACATCCGATTTGGCCACCTTCATGAGCAACGAATTATGCTCCGTGCATGTTCGTCGGCAGTAAGAAACTATTAGACAATCATCACAAGCAGCCTTCTGTTCACAATGGGATTTCGTAATCTAGCCAGCGTCGCAGATCGAATCCTAAGTTCGCCCCGGGAATTGAGAGAAGCAATCCGATTCGACAACTCCAAGCCAGAATCCACTGAAGGCAAGTTCGGCCGCTGGTCGAACAAGGACCTTGATCCAACACCCCCTGAACAGCGGACTTGGAACTCGTGGTCGTTCTTTGCCTTTCAGTTCAGCATCGCATTTTCGCCTACCACCTACAATGTCGGTGCCAGTCTGTACGCCATTGGCCTCAATTGGTGGACGATTTTGATTGCATCCGGTAAGCTACCACCTAAAAACCTCTAGATATCCATGTGTTATTGTCGCCTCTAACGCGTGGAATCTTTCTAGTTATCGTATCTGTCATGGTTGCTGTTCTACTGTACTTGAACTCTCGTGGGGCAACTTGGTAAGAAATTTCAGCCCACTTGGATAGATAATCAGGGCTCTGAATGACGTTTGTAGGTACCATGTAGGATTTCCCACGATTGTCCGGTCTTCTGCAGGAATCTATGGCTCTCTTGCATACATCGGCATCCGAGGGGTGAGATATCGCAATACCTGTTTGCTCATGATACAGTTGCTGACGTAGTGAAACCAGATTGTAGCTGTTCTTTACACTGCTATTCAGACTTTGTATGCCAGCCAGTTCATGGCTGTTATGCTCCGCTGTGTGTTCGGACACAAATGGACAGACATTCCTAACCGTAGGCTTCCCTCTCGGAATATTCACCGCCGCATGTTCTCATCGTGTACCAGGTCTACCAGCAACTGCTGGAATCACATCGGCTAATCTTTTGGCCTTCGGGATTCTGTGGCTGTTGCAGCTCCCCTTCGCTTTCGTTCATCCGAGCAAGATTAACATTGTCTTTCGAGTCAAATCAGTTCTAGCCCCGATTGGCTTAATAGCGACCATGATATGGGCATTGGTGAGCAAAAGCCGTCACGGGACCCACCTTCAAAAGCTCACATTATCTAGATCTCTAGCCACGGAGCTGACTTTCAAGGCCTGAGCACCATCGAAGCTGCAACAGGGGCATCTCTTGGGTGGTCCTTCATGAAAGCCCTCAACACGATTGTGTCTAATGTGATACCACCACTGGTGAACATCGCTGACCTCTCTCGCTATGGGAGCCGGCCAAGTCAGACAATCCCCATGCCTGTAGGTCTGGTGATTAGCAAGCCACTAGTCACCTTCATGGGCATGGTCATCACGGCCACAGGCTACAAGCAATTCGGAGAGGTAAATCAGACAGCGAGATTCTCTTCAGAATTGGTCGTTGATTATCTTCTTAGGCATACTGGAATCTGTGGGACTTTTACTCCAGCGTACTTGACAAGTATTGGAGTCCAGGTGCTAGAACGTTGGTGTTCCTAGCTGCGGGTATACAGGTAAGGGCTTGTGGTTGAAAACGGAAGTGGTCACTCGTTAAGCGTTCTTGCAGGCTTTTGCAACATTCGCAACCAACTTGAGTAGTAACTCAATTCCTGTTGGAAGCGATCTTGCAGGGATGTTTCCCAAATACTTCACCATCGTCCGCGGCCAGATACTTTGCTTCGTTCTGGTTTGGGTCTGTGGTTAGTTTAGTTCCATGCGAAAGATATAAACAAAACTTGAGTTTGGCCAACTAACTTTGTTCATAGTCCCGTGGAAGCTCATTTACTCCGCCGCGTCGTTCCTCACATTCCTAGGCTCATATCTTTGCTTTATTTGCCCTATTGTGGCATGCATGATGTACGAATACCTTAATCATTGACTTCTTCCGCTGAGCTTTGAACACCCGAGATTGACGTATTCGTGTTTAGTGTCGACTACTGGCTCATCCGCAACGGCAACATCCACGTCCCATCGTTATACTCCACAAGCACCGATTCTCCTTACTTCTACTTCAAGGGATTCAACTTACGCGCCTTTGGATCATGGGCGGCGGCCGTTCTTTTGGTCTTGCCAGGGGTTTCTGGAAATCTCCACCCTGGCTCAATCGGACTCGCGGCCGTCCGCATCTACAACATGGGCTTTCTCCTATCAACTGTCACAGCGAGCGTCCTATACTATATCAGTTGCAAAATATGGCCAGTCAGGGTTTACCCTCCGCAGCGGGACGATCAGCCTAAGACATGGGAGTTCTTGAGCCACACAGAGGGGTTCTTTCCTGGTGACAGAATGTTCCCGGGGCATCTGCTGGTGACTCCTGTAGTCAACGGAAAAGAATTTATGGACATAAAGAATGAAGAGAACAATAATGGGGCTGAATTCAAGGGTGTAAAGGCTTAGATGAACATGAGAAATGGTACTGGAGCAGGATTCTGTACTATTCGTATCGCCCGTGTCATACGGCATGCGAACCAAGTAAATACCGTTGGATCTTCATGTAAACTGCCGACTCCGGGTGTGAAAATGTTTCATCGGTGCTGATCGCAAGCGAGAATTCTGAGTAGTTGTAGATTAACCTCGCCTTCATCGATACCCTCCTTAAAGGCCGTCCGACGCTCACCCACCTTCTCCAATTCTTAGAGAAATGGCCAAATAGACTGTTCAACTTAGTCGATCGTACTCTGGATAAATCGAGAGATGTTCGTGCTGCCACTTCTGAAGCATTAGGGGATTGCGACAACGAAGACGATGGTCTACGAGCCACATTGTTGTTTTTCCGAAATGTTCAACACCCGCCACAACGTTCAATAAAGACTCACACATCACCCAGAGCTGGAGGTCTCTCTCACTTTCGTCTCCGTCAAGCTCGCGACCTTCACAAAATCTTTCGGACGCCCGTAGTCCCTCAGCAGTTCATGAAGGATCGAAGTCTATGGCCAGGTGACGTACGCCTCTGAAACCGTTCCGCATTGATGAGAATGGCATATCTTCAATCAGGATTTGAAAATCCGTACTGCAACCCCACGGTTGTATGTAAATAAGATCCCACATCGGAAGGACTGTGAAGTACTGTTCTTCGCCATTGGTCTTGGCGATGAACGTTGCAGGCATTTCGTAATCAGGCCTTTCCTCCCGTGGGAGAACCCTGGTGTATGTGCCCCGTCGCATGTCAGAGTAAAACTTCTTTGTTTCGTCGTAGGTACTGAGCCATTTATCAGGTCTGTAGCGGCGAAGCATTGCTGCTCTAGACTCTTTGCACGCAGTCTCTGCGCGTTCCAGGAGTGAACGGAAGAGCTGTTCAATGGCAGCGGGGCCCCTAGAATTTGACATGTCCGTTCGGTTGCTGGCGGGATGAGATTTTGAACGTATTTATCTGGCCTGGGAAATTTGTTTTTGGAAGGCGGAGTAGAGGGAGAAGTAATGAACGCTACGATTACTTAGTCCGCGATCGTTTGTGGGACGGGTTGCAAAATCCCAGATGGCGTTTCGAAGCTCGCCTGGTAGCGATGGAAATGGGTGAAAGTCGGCGCAACCATTGTCTTGATAGATTTGACGATATTTCAGAAAAGGTTGAGTAAAAGGCAAGACTGGAGATGGGGCAGAGCTCGGGAGAAGTTCAGAGGTGAACCAAGGAGGTCATCTATGTGACAAATATGTCCAAATCACAAATGGTTTCCGTAAAAAAGCTGAACTTAGACACCACCTCGAAGGCTATCTTACTGGTCTCATATACAGTTCATCAAGGGTTCATTTAGTCTTCAACTGAGAGCCGTATTTCTTACTAGCTCGGGGCATCTAATGGCTTCCTCCCATATATCGCATACCCATCCCAATAGCCATGCAACCCCAGATTCTTCACATCCCTCCTCACATGTGAGCAAAACACAATAGTCTCCGACATCTTCCACTCCAGAACCCTCGTGAACAGCGCCAGACTCATGCCCTCCAGCCCAGGCAATAACGAAGCCTGCACCCATAGCCCCATCTCCTTCAGCTTCGGGTCCTCAGGCCACGGGCTAACGGGGAACTTGATCTTCTTCTTCACTACCCCTTCAAACCCGACCTCCTCCATCATGTCCGCAAAGGTATGCGTGATCGCCAGGCTCCGCCCCAGCTTCTCGCACGCGTCCGTAATCATCCGCGTCCACTTGCTCAGCGGCATGTCCTCAGTGAGCGTCCCGTCGTCACACTTAATAGGATACTCCGAGTCGTGGATCTCAAAATACCCGCCCGGCTCGAGGCTCTTGTACGCCTGCGCGATGATCTCCCTCCAGTTCGCGAAACACCCAATCATGTTCCGCGCAAAGATGAAATCAAACGGCTCCTTCCACGTCCACTCCTTTTCCAAATCGTCCACCTCAAAATGGCAGTTCGGCGGCACGTAAATCGGCTGGATGGGACTCAGGTCGACCCCGACGACGGTCGCCTGCGGGAACTCGTCCGCGTAGTCCAGCGCCCACGTCCCCGTCCCCGTGCCGAGGTCCAACACCCGCCTGGCCCCGTCATTCTTCGGACAGAGGCAAAACGCCCCGTCAAAGGTCAGCATCCAGAGATGGCTCACAATGTCCAGCCTCTCCTGCTCCAGGGCGTCGTTCGGAAACGGGTACTTGCCGTCCGACAGACGGTGGTACGTCCGCCCGTTCTCACGGCGGTAGTTCAGGATGGTGGCCTGGAGGAGTGCGTCCGGTGCATCCCGCTCGATGGCCACCGTCGTGTCGTCGGCGTAGTAGTCCGGGTACTCCGCGGCGGCGGCTGCAACCGCGTTTTCCGGTGCGCTTGCGCTTGTCGGCCGCGAGCGCTGTGTTGTGCCGACCCGCCGGGAGGCTAGCGAGTAGTAATCCGTGGGTTCTTCCGGATCGGACTGTGCGCGCCCTCCCCCCTCTCCAAAGACCGGCGCCGACAGCGGGGCATCGTTGTTGACGGTCTGCCAAAAGTGGCCGGACATCCTTTTTCCTAGAAGGACTATTGGATGGGTACGAAGCTAGCAGCAAGGCGTATGAATCGTACGCCGGGGGCGGGGCCGTCTGGTTGAGACGAAGCCGCTAAAGGAGGGGACGGTCTGGTAGGACGAAAGGCCGGTGCGCGCGCCGGAAACCACGCAAAAAAAGACCGATGGTTCATGAAGAAAGGGGAACGACGAGAGGAGGGAGGGGAGAGAGAACGGAGCGAGGATGGACCATCGTCCCACCTACCGAGTCCTGGGAACATCCCCGCCATAACGCCACCGCCAGTTCGCCCGCGGGCCCTTCTCCCGGGGTCCTGGGGCCCAGGCAGGCTGCGTTGCGCGAAAGCCAGACACCCCGCCGCCCGAGTAAGGATCAGAAGAGAGACGGGGAGAGACAGAGAGGGAGGTACATTGTTGGAGTGGCCTGGCTGGCGAATATTATCCCTGGAACGCTTATCCGCAACGGCGGGACCATGCCTCTCTCGGGTCCTAGCGTCACCCACGCCCCGCGGCTGTGGACACGGCGGCTGCATCGGCGCCGGAAGAACATGGCACTCCGGACCAAAAATTCCCAGGCTCCGGGGACTCGGGGAAGGAGGCTCTACGGCCATCACCTCACGCTCGCGACGCCGACGACGACGATTGACGAACGAGACGAAACGAAAGCGCACCGAGGCCCTCGCACACATACACCGCCGATATGGTTGTCCGGATAAGACTTGCGCGCTTCGGGCGCGTCAACCAGCCCTTTTACAACATTGTTGTTTCTCAGGCCAGGTACGCTTCCTCAACACCCCGCCTACCTCTTGCGATTCAGAATAACCCACGCGCCTGGAAGATGACGATAGTGGCACCGGAATGCGGGAGGAGAGGAAAGAAAAATTGGGCAGAGGCTAACATGCCCGTGCAGAACCGCCCGTAACAGCAAGCCGATGGAGGTCATCGGCACCTACGACCCCATCCCCAGACAAGACCCGTACGACGCCACGACGAAGCCGCACAAGGAGATCCGCCTCGACTCGCTGCGTGCACGCTACTGGATTGGTGTCGGCGCGCAACCCACCGACACCGTTTGGAGATTGCTGTCAATGGTACGGACTGTGCCCAATGTCAACGACGTGGACGTTCAGACACGATGCTGACCCTACTACCCCCGACAGGTCGGAATCCTCGAGCCAAAATACAGAGCCAATGGCGAAGCCAACACTGCGACCGCTGCCAAATCTCTCAAAGCCCCCCCTCAAACACCGTCATCATAAAGTTCCCACATGCACTCTGGATAGGAAGCAGGAGACGAGAACAATCACAGGAGGCGACGGCAGGCAATTCGCAACGAGGCAACCGAAATTGGCCTTGTTGAGGTCGCCGTAATGGGGGAAACGACTTGTTTACAAGTTAATTGGAGGGCCGCTTGGCATTTGATAACAGAAACGCCGAGAATCCAAAAATGTACGAATATCAGAGCACCATCAGATGACGGCAAACTTTGTCGACGGAGACAGTGGCGAGGAGGTGCCAAGGCGGATGCTTCAGATGAGCTTCACGACACATCATGTGGCACGACCCAGGCCTCATCGGGGACACGTCACTTTCATTGTACAACATGAGGATTGTAAAAAGACCAAAAATGTCACTCCATTGAAGCCATTTTTTGCGCTACTCAGGACCGCCCGTGGCTATTCGGTTGGCCCGTCTTATCCTAAATTATCTCTTACAACAAGACGTCGAGAAATGAATTAGACGTGAGGTGCGAATTCGAGTAACGCCCACAATGCAGCCACCGCGCTGGTAAGGGGTTAAAGGAGGGGAAAACTCCCCGGTGAAACGGACAAAGGAAACAAACAAACCAACCAACTCCGAGAATGCGTGACGAGTTCCCGTGGGAAATTCCCGCCGCAATGTCTATCCCAAGCGGCCGTGTAAGGGCATTCGTATCATCCAAAACTACTCTTCCTCTAAACTCTTTGTGTTTCGAAGGGGCAAAGTCTTCTCTTCTCAATGCGATGCGTGGAAGACAATGTTCATGATAAGGCAAACAACCATGACGCATACGCCGTAGATAGCGAGTGACAGCGCCAGCTTGCGGAGCAGGTCCTGCTCAATGTGCTCGAGATCCCAGCGCCACTTGCGGTTCCACTTGCGGGGGTTGACGACAACGCTAGCTGCGCTGCCCAGACTGGCGATGCTGTTGATCATGGTAGCTTCATCCTCCTCGTCTGAAGGGATATCGGCGTCGTCGTCCTCCTTGTGGAGACGCTGCTGGTGCACACTGTCCGGGTCACTGATCTTGTAGTAGAAGAGACCCGGGAGAATGAAGCTGATGCTGGTGGAACCAGTGCTGCCGACATAGGCGAGCACTCTCTCCAGGTTGTGAACCGACAAGGCGGTAATGTAAGAAAGAATGAGAATGACACTGGTAAGGATCGCAAAGCGAATGTCGCTCATGGATGAAGTA